TAAAGGACCTAAACGTGTCGTTGGCATATGTTGGGAGCATTTAACACCTAAAGGACCTAAAGCCTCCTTTCACCTTTGGTGTCTAACTGATTTCACCTCGCACACAACCACAATCCCTCTCACCGTGTGTGGTATCCATGGTTGGAGCTCTTATGCTTCAACCACGGGGTACCATGAGCCTCATTAAGGCTTATTTGGGTTCGGTGCGTGCGAGGGTGCGATCCTATTTTGGATTAGCTCAACCACCCCAAGAGAACCACCCTGTATCTCCTCTTCACGAGTCTCTGTACTGGAGAGCTAAACGCGATCCGAAAGCAAAAATGCTTTTTCTGCACATCCTTTCTACGGAAGGGCGTGTCGTTGGGCCATGTTGGGGAGAAATTAAAACCTAAAGGACCCACAGGACCTAAAGGTGTGTCGTTGGGCCATGTTGGGAGCATTTAAAACCTAAAGGACCTAAAGGAATTTTCTGCTAAAGGACCTAAAGGACCTGCAGTCTACACAGTAAACCCTAAACCCTAAACCCTAAACCCTAAACCTTAAACCCTGAACCCTAAACCCTAAACCCAAAACCCAAAACTCTAAATCCTGAACACTAAACCCTAAATCTGAGACCCTAACTCTGAAACCCTAAACCCTGAACCCTGAACTCTAAACCCTAAACCCTAAACCCTAATAAAGGACCTAACCCTAAATCTTGAACCCTAAACCCGACATTGAAACGCAAAACCCAAAACCCAAACCCCAAACCTCAAACCCCAGATAAGAATCCTGAATCCCGAAATCCGAAACCAACAACCCAAAACCCCGATCACCAAACCTGAACCGAAAAACAAGAAACCCAAAAACCGAAACACCAACCCCTAATAATCAAACACCAAACCCCAAACCCCAAACCCCAAACCCTAAACCCCAAACCCAAAACCCCAAACCCCCAACCATAAACCCCAAAACCCAAACCCCAAACTCAAACATCGAAACCCTAAACCCTAAACCCTAAACCCTAAACCCTAAACCCTAAACCCTAAACCCTAAACCCTAAACCTTAAACCCTAAACCCTAAACCATAAATCATAAACCTGAAACCTGATACTCAATACCAGAAAACCTGAAACCCAAGACTCAGACTAGACAGGACACCTTCCACAAAAACCCACCGGGCAACTCGCAACCACTTGAAAATACAGAACCAGGCAACAGGTACATGTATGACGTCGCAACGGAGAACAAGTGGAAGACAATAACAAGACGCGGGGGGGACACGGAGACGCCAGGGGAGTGGAGGAGGGATTCTTCGACGGGGGGGGGGACACATGACGAATAGCTTCAGGGGGACACGCAGTGATGACACTCAGACGTAGGCCTACGTGATCCACGCGAGGATGCGGAGCGAGAGGAGCCTTATTGAAAGGCGGGGGGGTTGATACATGCTCTGGGGATAACCCCATGTAGGCATAGCCGGAGTGACTTTACACAAGTCATGTACTGCAAATGCGTTGCTTTATTGACATCTGCTGTTGTTCGTTGACGCTTCGATTGGCCTTCACTCTACTGAAATTCGTTGACACTTTCAGGCTGGTAAGGATCACTCACTGCACATTGGGACAAATCCCTACATTCCACCTTTGGCGTCTAATTCATCTCACCTCACCCCCCCCCACAATCCCTCCCACCTTTCGGAGTCTTGTTCCCGCTTGACATTTGGGGTATCCGTGGTTGGAGCTCTTATGCTTCAACAATGGGATACCATGAGCCTCATAACATCTGACTGGGGCTCGGTGTATGTGCAAGTGTGTTCCCAGTTGGGGACTCCTCAAAGACCCCAAGAGAGCCACCCTTTATCCCCTTTGCACGAGCCTCTGCACTGGAGAGCTCAACGCGATCCGAAAGCAAAAATGCTTTCTCTGCGGATCCATTCTACGGAAGGTTGTGTCGTTGGGCAATGTTGGGAGCTTTTAAAACCTCAATCACCTAAAGGATGCAGATAAGTTCCGGTGTCCGCCTATCCACACAGCGGACTTCGAAGGGATTTTGAATAACTCCTAAGCGATAAGACCTAGGGCCCACCGGTAGGCAACCAGTTCCAGTGTCCGCCTATCCACACAGCTGACTTCGAAGGGATTTCGAACAACCCCTGAGCGATAAGACCTAGGGCCATACGGTAGGCAACCCGTAGGGGTATAAGGGGGTCCCTACGGATAAGGTGACGGAAACTCGGGCTCTCAGCGCCCGAAAATCCCTGCGTAGCCCGCTGTATGGTGTGGGAGTTAAAAGAATGTAAAGGACTTAAAGCATGGCCTTTCTACTGATTACTGACAGGACCAGTTCCGATGTCCGTCTATGGTGGGAGTTGAAAGAACCTTACGGGCCTAAAGAGATGCCACAGACCTTGAAGATTCACTTCCGAGAGACCTTCAAAATCCAACATGTCCCCCAAACATTAGAAATCCCACAGACTTCACAAATCCCACAGACCTTTGAGATACCACAGACCCTAGAGATCCCACAGACCTGAGAAATCCTACAAAATTTAGACATCCCACAGATCTGAGAAATCCTACACACCTGAGAGATCCCACAGACCATAGAGATCCCACGGAACAAACAGATCCCACAGACCTGAGAAATCGTACACACCTTGGAGATCTCACAGACCTTATCCCACAGACCTTAGATGAGATCCCGCTTGTGAGGAGAGAGGCCGCGCAGGCCCAAACCCCGACACCGAGGCTCACATTTGAGACCCCACAGACCTTTGAAATTCCACAAACCAAAGAGACCCTACAAACCTTAGGGATCCCGCAGACCTCACAAATCTTTCGCACTTTAGAGATCCCACAGACCTTAGAGATCCCACAGACCTGAGAAATCCCACAGACCTGAAACATCCCCAGACTATATCTTTATAACTTTTCCTCTCTCGTGAACCCCCGGTCTCTCTCCCCGGGTTCTTCCCCGGTCCTCTCTCCCCTCTCCCTCTCTCTCTCCCCCCCCCCCCCCCCC